AGGGAGGGAGGGAGGGAGGGAGGGAGGGTCGGTCGCAGGAACGCGGGCAGAGCTGAGGGGGCTCCCACTGCAGTCCCCGCTGATGGACCTACCTTGGCTGCTTCACCCCTCTCCACCCTCCTTCACATCTAGGGATGCTCCAGCTGCACATTCCCCCTGTTGAACACTCTTCCTTCCCTGGAAAGCTTTCTGCCCCAGCCAAAGGTCTTTAATGTGCACGCCCTGTCTCTCACACTCTCTCCAGGGAACGCCACAAGGAAATAATCCTCAAGCACAAATTCCAGAGCCATGCATAAAATCACATCCCTACAGGTCCTTCCTTCTGAAAGCTCCGAATTTTAAACCAGTTTATACTGGATTTCATTTTGTTAAAATACTTCATTTAAAGGCTATTTATCGGTTTCATATACAAAAGTTCTCTTAAACCAGCACAGGTAAAAATATTCCCATGATTTTATAAGAGCCCAGTATGTCAGTGACCCCACTACAGACCAGCAATGTGGTCAAAAAGGGGCAAAGCCCAAAGTGATGTTTTTGCTGACATGTTCCCAAGCGGTGTCCTCTGGTGGGACTGCTCAGAGCCCCTTGTGTGCAGGGGCTGGGAGTGAAGCCAATCACTTTGTTCTGCTCATTTAAACCACAAAGGCTCAAGCGCCAACTGCTCAGGAACAGCAAAAACAGCAATTGGAACTTTTATAGGATTTTTTTATCTTTCAGGTAGAGATCATTTCTATTTGTTCCATAAAATAATTTAGTGGTTTGGTTTCCTTAAAATATCTTCTGGCAGCTGTATGAAGGATAAAAGCCATGAAATGGAGTTTGGAGCTGGCTGCTGTCACTATCTGTGTTCATGTAGCCATGGCATAATTAAAACAGAACAGACAAACCAGTTGGCCAGCTGCAGATACACCTACTTCTGCACAATTTCACATTTATGTTCATTAAAATATCTATATTTTTATATTCAGTAGTCCCAAATATGAGAAACACAACACTGTTCCTGAATGTCCAACTGCTCCTAACCTTACCAGGGCAAGAGGCTCCACGGTATTTTTTGGAAACATGTAATATGTAAAGTGAGCAAGATTCCTGGTGTTTATGGCTTTCCCTTCATCTTCCACCAATACAAAAACCTGAGCACAGCTGCCCTTACCAATGACTACCCACAGTGCTTTCAGGAGCTGAACATGTAACATGGTTCATTGTCTCTTTATTAGTGGTAATTCATGTTAGACATTGAAAATATCATATAATCCTGCAAGTATTATCTGAAAATAGAGATTATATGACTTCTTTCCTTCCTTCCTTATTGGAATATTAAGGTCAAGGTTAATCAGTTAATGGTTACAAGGCTCTTTAAAATTGTATAATAATAAATATTTATATTATTGCTGAAAATACATCTAATTATTCGCCTTCTGAAAACAGCTTGTCTTATGATAGAAGGGATAACATTCTTTCCACCATAGTGACATTCTGGCATTTAGATCTGACATCTTCAGCAAGGTGTTTGTGTTAGAAAGTGGTGAGAGAGGAGTAGTGCTGTTCCCTGGGGGCTGTTCCCATTATCCCAGCAGGGACAGTGGCGTGTAGGGCTGGAGCTGGGGCTGCCCTGCCGCTCCCGTGGGCAGCTCAGGCCGTGCACCTGGAAGGGCATGGCAGAAATAAGCACCCAGACACACGGAACTGAAAGAATCCTTCCAGAAGGACTTTGCTCACATCAATTACACAATTCCTTCAGGACTGAGCAATAAACAAAATCACTGGGAAGTATTTAGTGGGTTTCTGTCCAACTGTATCAGTACAAGGCTGAGCTATTTCAAATCAAAGGGGAAAATGCAGACCAAAACTCCCAGTGAAAAATAAGAAGCAGCTGTGAGACCCAGCACTGCTGCTCCCACACTCCGGAGAGCGGGGCTGCATGCGTGGAGCTGGGCACTCAGCAGTTAGGCAGAATAATATTTACTGAGGTGAAAATATTGCACTCCCTCTTCAGTGATCTGTGGAGCAAATTCTTTGTCTCCACCAAGTCAAATAGGAATAAAATAACATTTCCATATGATAGGGGGGTATTGAAAATAAACACATTAAGAGTTGTGAGGAATTTAGATACTGAAGTTAATGGGATCGTCACCTTAGATAACTTTATTTCCTGGTTTGTAACACCTCCATTGCTGCATCTGTTACATATTAGCTGTGTGAACAGCTTCTTCTAAAAACAAAAATTTAAACCCAATTTTGCTGATTCACACAGCTACCTGGAGACATTTAGGTTCTCTGAATTTCACTAACCAGTAAGTGGAGAAACAAAATATAGGCAATGTAATACCACAAAGCAGACTGTGTTCATTCATTGCACACACATTGTGATGACTCTGCTGTAATTAGTAACTGTACAGTCAAAGAGATGTTTAATGAATGGGGGCTCAGGAAGAGCCTGCAGCCTAAAGCAAACCTTCACCAAAGGGCAGCACAGGTCCCCCCGTGGGATGGAAATATTGTAGGCTTGTTGACTACTGGAAACTGGATCAGGAAAGTCCAAATGCATACAGTGATCCCTGTAGGGTTTTGGTAGCAACTTTACTGGGGCCTGATTCAAGAAAAAATAAGTGATGTCCAAGAAACACACTGAAAAATGATGCTTTATGTTCCTAAAATGTTTAAGCTGTGGATAATCTTATTCTAGACCCCTGGAGAGAGAAGAGGTACATACCTATAGCTAACACACCACACCTCCTCAGGGGTATCTACTTTCACCTTCCTTTTCTAAACTCACAGAAAGAAAGATCAGTTCCTCAAAGAGCAGCATTTACGCCCATTAGGTTAGTTAGCCCACAATTAGCTGGGGCCATTAATTACAAATGATAGCTTACAATAAAGGGTTTGTGTTCCCCAGCTGTAGTACAAGAGATATATGAATTAAATTGCAAATGTAAAGTTAAATTTGAAGGAAACAAAATAAAAATAGGTGTTAAATATATAAAATATAAATAAGTTTGCTATGCGTATAAGTTCTAATGTGGCTGCCTCGGGAGAACAGTGTGCATTACAAAGGTGTTGAAGGAAATGCATTCTGAGAAGCAGAGTGTTACATTTCCAGGCCATCCCACCACTGCACACATGCAGCTGCTGACAAATTGTATATAAAGCAAAGACATCAGTCAGGGCTTCCAATTCCAGTATCATAAAGCATTTAGAAAATCCTCAAATCCTCTCTTCATCTACCAAGTCCCCTCATTACATGTCATGTAGGGCTGTCTTTACAGCAAAGGCACTACAGCTGTTCCCTAGACCACCAGGAGCTCTGCTCTGTGTGCTTAGAAAGTACACCTTTCTCCTGATCCCTGATCTGCTGCCCTGCATTCCCCTTAAAATAAATTCAATGAAATGTGCCCACAGAGCCTGGATCCTTCACCAGCTGAATGGAGATGTGAACACACAGAAAACCCCAGAGCTCACAAACACCTCTTAGGGAGAGTGGCAGAGTTCTGGCTCCTGGCAAGTGTGCACATACACCTGCAAGTGCAAACACCTCTGCAGCGTGGGACAGGCTGCTGCTGGTGATGCCTGTTTCCACCCACAGTGTCAGTGAATCACTTTGTGCTCAGTAAGTGACACACATGGAATGCCAGTCTTTCTGGCTCCAAGGAATTAAAAAGTGATACTGCCCCAGTAACCAACATCATGATGAGTTTTCCCAGCAAAGAGCAATCCTAAAACTCATATATGTGAACTTAATTGTCACTCACAGGTAGAGATAAAACAACTGGGCAGAAAGGTTCTAAAATATACGAAATACAAGTTTGTGTTTTCATGGCCCAAATTAATTTTCAAACAAAACATCCATCAGTAGAGAGTGCTCATAAGAGGCGGGAAAACTCAAGTGATACCAGACAAAGCATCTGGAATTGCCTCCAACAGCATCATCCTCAAGGAACAATCCTCATCACCAACTACTGTCTTCCACCACTGCAGCTAAAGGAGCGTGGACATAAAAGAGCTTTTAACTCTGAAATTAAAAGAAGTGAAACACCAAATACCAAAACAATAACAAAACTCTGGTGGAATTGTGAAGTTCTGCAACAAACAAAAGAACCAGAAAGCATATTAAAACTGCAAACTGTGACATGTTTAAGACAAAATGAAGAAGCAATGAAGGAACTGAAAGAGGAACAGATGAGTAATGGGGTGGGGTCCACTCTGGAATATGTTCTGAATAGGAAGAAACAGAGACAATGGAACTTAGAAAAAGATGCAAGGGAAGACCCATTCAGTTAAAAGAGAGATGGAAGTCAAAGTTGGTGTGGAGTGACAAGAGAGAACAGAAAGATGATTGAGAGACAGACACTTCCTAGACACTGGTGTGCAGTTTCTCAAGTAATTCAGGTGTAAATGGCAGACCTGGTATTACCAAAGCGTCTAAGTTCTGAGGGTAAAATAGAGGAGAAGGGTAAATCTAAGGATAGACCAATGCAGTAGATTATTTCAGCCATGTGTGTGGTTTAAGGCCAGCACCACATCAGGTGCTGGGATGTTCACTCTCTGTCAGAGGAATCTGTTCCTCCACAGCAAATCAGCCTCAGAAAAACAAACCAGCTATGAGAACATAGCCAAGAAATCATTACGTACGGTTTGTCATTTTACTGGGAAGCCTACAAAACTTTTTTTTCCTTCTTCTGGTAGGTGTTAGCTCTGTAAGCTCCAGGATCCCTCCAGTGAGTTCAGTTTTCCTCAGTAGCTGTCTCCTGCCCTCCACTTGCCTGTGACTTGTGAGCTGTCCACGATGCCTCCCAGGATGGGGCTCGCAGCCCTACCTGTCTCTAGGAAGGTCACAAATCCTTTTTCTACAATTAAGACCCATTTAAAACTTTCAGCAATAAATCCTGGAATGCCATGACTCCTATATGCCCAAGTTTATCTCTAGATATAGGCATTTGGGTAAGTGCTCATTAAAATTGACTTCTTGAGTCAGAACTATAAATTAAAATGCAGCTGAACCAACGAATACTGTTCCCTTTTCTTCCCATAATAGCTCAAATTGAGTGTGTTCCCATGAGCAAGAAAAAAATACTTTTAAAATGCGATTTCATTTCATTCTAAGTTACTAAACTATGAGTGAAAGTTTTTGAAAAATTTCATTTACATCCACTTCAGTTATGAATGAAAAGCCCTCCTCCTTGTCCTGATAAAATGAGTTCAAACTGTTGATTAATTTCTTACAAAGGTAAACATTGACATGTTTTCTGAATCTCTAAACTAAAAGCTCTCTATTTACAGTGAGCACACTAACTAAAATAAGTCACTTTTTTTTTACAGCAGCCTGGAAGCTAAAACATGCATCAGAATTAAAGAACTCCAGGAAAACAAGCAGGGCCCCAAACCTTCACAACTCTCATAAAATTTAGAACCCAAGCAATCTGCTTTAGAGAAACTGAAAAGAAATAGCTCTTCTCATACTTTTTGGGAATTAACTTAGTCTCAGAGAAGGTATAAATAGTTAAGAATATCTTGAAAAAACAGCAAATCCATGGCTTTTTAAATATAAAATTAGTATTTTGATTACTTTTCAAGGCAAAATCGGCTCTTACCTGAAGAACTCTTTTGGTGAGGCCGGTTTTCTGAGCCAGCTGTTTCAAGTCCTTGGCATCAGGATTGTGGTTAATAGCAAAGTATGACTTCATAGTCCGCAGCTGGTGGTGTTTGAAGGACGTCCTCATGCGCTTTGTTTTTTGATTGCTGGGGTATTGCTGGTCTCTGTCCAGGTGGTCACCATCGTTTTCATTGCAACTTAAAGCTTAAGGCAACAAGAGGAAGAGGCCTGTAAATCTCTTGCTCTACAACCAATATTATTTGCAATTTTCCTGAGTGCAGCAATTAAAATAACACACCACAGCATGTACTGGCACAAGCCCTACCTGTCTTTGCTCTATTTCATGGATTTGTAGAGCAGTTTAGATTGGAAAAGGCCCTCTGAGGTCATCATGTCCTACCATTAGCGCTGCCAAGGCCACCACTAACCCGTGTCCCCAAGTGCCACATCCACATGGCTCTGAAGTCCCTCCAAGGATAGGGGCTTCACCTCTGCTTTTGGGGAAGTTTCCTAATATCCAATATGAGCCTCCCCTGGCCCAGCCTGAGGTTGTTTCCCCTTGTCCTGTCCCTGTTCCCTGGCAGCAGAGCCTGACCCCCCTGGCTGTCCCCTCCTGTCAGGGAGTTGTGCAGAGCCAAAAGGGCCCCCCTGAGCCTCCTTTTCTCCAGGCTGAGCCCCTTTCCCAGCTCCCTCAGCTGCTCCAGCCCCTTCCCCAGCCCCACTCCTTCCCTGGACACACTCCAGCCCCTCAGTGTCGCTGCTGCCATGAGTGGCCCAGAGCTGCCCCAGCAGTGCCAGCACTGGGCCGAGCACAGCCCAGGGGCCGTTGGCCTCTTGCCCACCTGGGCACAGCTGGATCATATTTCTGCACCTTCCAGCCATTCCCTTACAACAACCAGCCTGCAAGGACCCTGGCCTCCCCCTCTGTGGCCTTTAAAATGTCAGCTCTGTTTCCTTTTTCCTCTGCTCCACCTCCACACAACTTTTCTTCCACTTTCTGTGGGAGGACAGTAGCTGTCCTCAACTCCGTAAAGCGTTTTACTGTACTTGGTATCGCCATAAATTGCACTGTAACACACAAAGAGAGCTGCACAATACACCCCACTTAAATCTCAATGGAACAGACTAGTTAAAATCATAATTATTTCCTCCCTCAAACTAAACCCTGTAGAGTGCAAGGGAGACCATTAAATGAAACACTATAAAAGAAATAAAGTTTGTGGCTACCAGACAGCAAATTATGACTATAATCTGACTAGCTAAAGAAATAAAGCTGTTAATACAACATATTCACTGGCATGCCAAATGAAAAACCTTTTTAATTATTTATATGTTTATATTTCCATTTAAAAAAAAGGATTTGCAAATACTAGTTTGAATGATAACTTCTGCCATATCCTTTTGAAATCAAGGAATGACACTGGTTGATACACTTGCAGAAATCAAGCTCAGGAAGAAGGTCTGTGAGAAACAAACACTGTAAAAATGATCAATTAGTATTAAATGTTGAATGCCAAGCAAAATAATCTTGTAGACCAAAAGTAGTTTTTCATTTATTTGTGCATACATTAAACCATAGAAACCCTCTTAAAATAACACTAAAGGCTGAGCTTATATCCAGTAAAAACTAGGAATATAACTGAATATTAGCTCTGACAAACTGTTGTTAATTAGCTTTTCCTGTCCAAATATCTACAAGTTCCTCTTAATTTCCTAAAAGTTTTATGCTAAAAGTAATGAAAAATCACTCTATCTGTTCTACACGGCATGTGAAAATTGACCAAAAAATTCTTTTAAAATGTGAATTGTTGGTAAGTTTCTTAAACACATGAACAGGCTTGTTTTCAGTTGTCCACTATTGCAGTTTAATTATAAGTGAGAACATGTACCTATCTTTATACTGTTACTTGAATTCACGCTGTCCATCAATGGGTCTCAGCCCTAGTGAAAACACACATTCTGACAGGCATGTATTAAAAAGAGATTTAAAAAACACACATAAGATGCTGGGACTCCCAAGTAAAGATGCATACATGTTCCCTAAGCAGGTTTGCAGCAGCTACAGTAGCTGCTTTACAACCCTCAGCTTTTCAAAACCTGATAAAAAGCTGTGGCACAAAACAGAGCAAGGCCTGCAAAAATTCAGCTCTAAGCCCAAAAAGCATGTTTGTTTAACAAATATGCCCAAAGTGTCCAAAGCCTCAAACTTTTCTGTGTGTTTCTTTACTCCTGTAATTTAAAAAGCACCTAAAAAATGGTACTGTATACAGAAATGTGTCTGTGTGCGTGTGTGCGTGCATGTGCATATATTTGTATAAATCCTTTCCAGACCTCCGGATCTTGTGCCAAATTTTGGCCGTAAGAAGCATTTCTGTTTGTTTTCCTGCAGCATGGAAAACTGCAAGCACCTGAATTTAAAAGGTGTAAGGTAGTTGAAGAGAGAGAGTAACAATGGAGTAGTAATGGAGCTGTTTGGGATGTGGCCAAATCTTTTTGGGTTTAAGATCTGAGACCTGGTTGCCCATCTGGAGTCATCGCATGTGCTCCAGTCTCCTTCATAGCCACAATTCCTGAGATAAAGAGCACTGGGATAAATAATATAATAATGCTCAAAGAAAATTCTGTTACGTATATGTAAAATCAAGTCATACTTGTTTTTAAAACGTACCCAAAGAATTTTAGATATTAGTAATGGAAAAGACCTTTGTGCGTCACCTTAGAGGCTTTTGAACCCTCCAAGAAATAACAAGACAGACATAGGAGGAAATGCATCAGAATATCTGTTTGCAGGACTGAGGTCTGGTTCCTGTTAATATGCAACAAAACAAAGCCTAGGGCTGCAGAGCTGGGTTTTAACGTGTCCCGTAGAGAATGAGATACATCCAGAGTCCGAGGATTCTAAACCCTCCCAGAAGGGAATGAGGGTGTCAGCTTTTCATCAAGCCCTGATAGGAAAAGGAACAAGTTACTCTTGGAATTTCTCATAATTTTACCTCATTATCTATTAAGTAAAAATAATATTAAAATTACAGTAAACATGTACCATTTGAGAGTGGCAAAATGTCCTTGTCTACGCTGGAAGTTGCAGAACAGATTTTGAAAGTGCATGAGGGCGTGTGCCGTTCGCTGTCGGGTGCAAGTGGTTTGGCTACTCTCAGGCATCACCCAATATGACATAAATAGCCCTAGCTGGTGCCAATTCCCCTCTTCTATTTGGTTGTGGTGCCTGGCACCATCCTCAACAGGCTGTTTTATTCAGTCTAATACTATCTGCATCTCTCACAGAATCTGCAATGTCCATGGGTGTTGCAGGCACAGACACTCAGAACAGGCCAAGGGTGTAAGTGGAGATTTTAAGAGCTGAGGAGTTTCTGCAAAAGGCATCAGGGTGTAAAACTAACACTGTACATGCTCCTCACGCAACCCTCTGTTTTTCAGGCACTGTCTTCCCTGTTCTTTTGTGGTGTCCTGTGTATCTCCCAAAGGAATTGCTGAACTATCCATATGTAACATTTCCATTCTGTTGCAGTATCTCAGGCTCCTGCTGGGATTTCAGAAATACTATTGGTAGAATTCCAGTCGAATAGAGGAGCCTTAAATTAATGAGTGTTTCACTTCTATTTTTTGATAAAACAAATTCTGAAGCAGCGCCAAGTGTCTTTTTTGACCCTAGAACATTTCTAATGCCCCGTGCCTTTCCCCAGACCCCACACCCTCCACGGTGCAGCAGTGGGAGCACACGCACCCTCAGCCCCATGTGAGCCACCTGGTCACAGGATGGTGATGTCCATGAGCAGCATCACTTCATCCCTACAGATTAAGAGGAAAATATTATGATATTGGTAGCCAAAATACCCTTTGCAGATTAATGCATAACACCCCCTAAACCCAGCAACAAGAGCGTAAAGCAGGCTGAGCCGGTGCTTTTGTAACAAAGTCTGTTAGAGGAGAACTTGGGAACATTGCTTCACCCTCAGATTACCAGAGCCCCCCACGGCTTGGGATTCGGGGCAAAGTGTGTGCTTAGTTGTTAGTAGGTTGCTAAGGATATAGCACATGAAGATGAGAAAGAGAAATTTCCTTTGGGGGAAATTTTGCTCTTAGTAGCTTGTGCTTGACATGTTAGATTATGCCAAAAGAAAGAAAACTAATCCTGATTCTGAAGGAGTGAGGAAACAGGAGACACGTTGTGTGTGCATTATCTCTCGATAGTGGCTCAGGAACTTACACCCCTTTCCTCCTGTAATCGGAGTCAAGGGGGTGTTTTAACCTCCTGCTGCCTGGAGAGGGAACTTGTGATTAACTAGACCGGGCAGGGGTGCAACTGCATTTGGAGTTTGGTCGGAGCATATAGAGGACTTTGTGGCACCCATATCCTCAAAGGGGACAGAAGCGAGACAGAGCCCTTTGAGTGGTACTTGGGACAGGAACAGCCGTAGTCCTTCTATTTGGAGGAGGGAGAAGACACTTAAGAGAAGGCAGATTCCTGAACTTCTCACCACAGGAATTACAAGGGGTGAAGCTGTGGCACCGGGAGCAGTCAAGGGACCCCTGGCTGCTTCCGAGGTGCCTGGCGGCACTAAAAGGAGCCAAGCCATGGAGCAACAGACACGGCAGCGCTGCCTCAACCTTGACATTTCAAGAGGTGTTTCTGAGGAGATAAAGGCAGTGTGTCTTAAGGAGCCCAGGCCCGAGCATCACAAGGCCAGGACGGAGGAGAGCAGGATTAGAAGCCCTCTTCCTCCGGCCTTTCCCGGCCGCCTGGGACAAAGGGGCTGCGCGTCCCGGTGCCCCCCGGGGCTGCCTGAGGCCCGGCCCCCCCGGCCGCGGTGGCCCCCGGGGGGAGC